GTGGTGATGGTGATGGTGATGGTGGTAGTGGTGGTGGTGGTGGTGGTGGTGGTAGTGGTGGTGGTGGTGATGGTGATGGCGAGGGTTCGCCTGCGAAAACGGAAACGCGAACGTGTTTCGTGTTAACGTCGCGTCGTGAACACACATTCGCAGAGAGAGAGAGAGAGAGAGAGAGAGAGAGAGAGAGAGAGAGAGAGAGAGAGAGGGCAGATAGACTTGCTTCAAGATTTATTGTAGCGAATATATTCGAATAAAGAGAGAGAGAGAGAGAGAGAGAGGGAGAGAAGATGCGTTACGACTGCGAATAAATTAACAATGTGTATCCGCGCGTATAATGTAGACATTATTGTTAACAATCGCGTATAATTTTGCGCTTGAAGCAATCAACACACAAGCGCCACGAGGAATCCTATGCATGTTTGAAGAGTTTGAAGAGTTAAGAAATGATCGCAACTCCCAGCACCCACGCTGCGACACATGTTCTCGAAGCGAAATCTCGATCATATTCTTATTCGGTTGGATTAAACGTAAACGTTGGAGTCGATTGGGGTAGAACGGAATTTTCGAGCCTAATGGGTTGACCGTTGCTTGAACGAAATGTGGGTGGAATCGCAGTAGACGAGCAGGTGTGACGAGAGGTGCAGCTTCTAAACGAACGTTGATCCATTCATCGGTTCATGAACACACTTGGCACGTATCGGGACACATTGATGCGTATGCATACCGAATGTACCATCTACCGCTACTCGGGTCCTTTTTGCCGGACAATACCGTAAGACGCATGGCGCTCTGCATACGAATGCAGGTCGACATACTTTGTCGAATTGTCGTTTAGGTGCACTGACGCGCGAATTTGATCCCATGCTGTATTAAATACAGTCTGTTACTTGTGTGACAAGTCCGATTATTCTATAATCTATTGAGAAATAGATACGCAAATAGCGACGGCCGAGTACTCGATCAATTCGATCAATTCAATTGATGATTTTTCAGCAGATAAATCAGTTGTGACCACATGTGTGTTTAGAAGTATGCTTCATTTGTACAACCTTAATTAAATTACGTAAATTAATTCGACTATGATGCAAAAGCTCACACGATTGATTGGACTTGCTTGAAGTATGGTAAATAATTCGAGATGCGTATATCAACCGAAAGAACTGTCTGACGCATTCTGGTCGTTTCTAAAATGATTAAAATATAACGTTTGTGATATAAGTTCTTTCTCACCCTTATTCCTCATCGACGTGGCCGCGGACGATGAGGCCGCGGATACCGTATCCGGCAAATCTGTCGATCGCTCCTCTCCTCTGAACGACGTCCCTCCTCCTCCGACGCATGCCGACTTTTCCATTTTCATTGGCGGTTCTAGCTCGCTCTCTCTCTCTCGGTCCTCCATTTTTCTTTCCACAAAGCTTTCGAGACTCGGTAGATCTCGAATACTGGGAACCAACGTCGCCTCGTCGTCCTCCCTGATCCTCCACTTTGCCCTGGAACGCTGCTCGCCTGTATTTTCGTCTTGCACCGTCTCCTCGACTAGTTCTTCCTCCTGAAGCATATACTCTCGCCTCTCGTTGGGATTCCTGTATACTCTATAGGGCCCAACCAGTCCGACTACTCCTTTGGGCAACGCTATTGTAGCAGCCTCTCTCTCGTGCCACGGATTCTCGTAGTCCGAAGTGCGATCGGAATACATGGCGGGTGTGTCGCGAAGCCACTTTTTCACCTCGACACGTTTGGACGCGTCTTCCGTCGGCTTTTTTCCGTCGAGATTCGTGAGAATCGAACGCTCGATTCGAGTCTGATCGACAGGCCGAATTGCCTCTTCGTCGGAGGACGACGTTTCCGGCAGTCGCACCTTCTTGCATTTGCTCACCACGCTGTACAAATCGTTCTCGTTCTCGACCTCGAGGCGAGACGATCGCTCGTCTCTGAGCGTCTCCGATTTGAGCTCGTCCTTCTTCACCGCTCTGATTATTACGACCTTGCCAAGGACGGCCAACGGAGGATTCTGCGGGATGGTCTCGTTGCTGTCTAGGACACTATAAATCGGCTCACGCGTCGCTGTTTGGATCCACTTGGGTCGTGCGCGCTGTTTCGCGAAAGCGACCGTCAGGGATGTTCTTCCGTCGAACGTCGACGTGAAAATGCCGGCAAGCTCGGCTACCATCCTGGACGGATGAATTCGTATGTGCAACTGGCCTATGCCGGATGTCACGCACCGATCGTGACCAACGCGAGACGAGATCGGAGTACCGTACCGTGTCGTGTCGTCTTGTCCGTTTAGGCGACGAGATCGATAATTCACGCAAGAAACGACAATTGCCGGTGCGACACTTTATCGAGGATACGAGTAAGATGCCGCGCAAAATAAGCGCGCTTGCGAAAAAGCTTGGGGTTGCTCTGGCGAATTCAGACCATTGAAATCGCCTGAAATTGTTGAACGTTCGATGGCGCAAGATTAATGAATTCCGTTTTACAAGTCGCACATACACAATATGGGCAATCAAGTGAATAAATAATCGCGATCACTTTTTCCTCGTCTGGATATTGTAAAACGTTTCTTTCTCCGAGAGAGAGTCAAGTTCCGAAGATCGTGTTCGATCTCACCTTCGATTTCTCTTGAAGAGTTCACCACTTGCCGTCGTGCTTCAATGAAATTATTCAAAGTCCGAAAGCGGCTGCTTGATAAATTCTCGAATTTCACGATACGAAGATCACACACTTGACTTTCTTTGCTCCAACTAATTAGATGCTTTGTATTTCTCGTTGATCCAGCATCAAGTGTATCTGCTCGCACGCAAAAGGCAAGTGGCTCGACGACTTTAGTTTTACGAGGAACAATGTTCCAGGCTGCCGCGGTGGTGGCTAGAGGTCGATGGGATGGATGTAGTTCTCGTTCGTGACCAGATTCGCGAAGAAGAGAGCTTTACATTCTTCGCGACGCGACGCCATCCAATCGACTTTCCACATTTTTGCCAGACACGACGTTAAAGACAATTTCGACACTACGACAAGATTCGTCTGCCCATTTTTTTAAATCTTTTTGGAGCCGCGAAATTGTCGTTTGATCATCTTTATTACAGCAGCGGAAATAAGAAAGAAGTAGTAATTGTTACAATCTCGAACAATTTCTTGAGGTACCGTAGCCCGTAGTGAATTCAGCATATACAAGTATCAATCGAGAGAATTTTTCTCAATCTTCCATTTATAACGATACCATCCACTTTACGCATCGTTTTTGACACATATTATTTCGCGACAAATAAGTACGAATGAGTTTCTCTTTTATCCGGAACGTTCACGCGTCTGCCGTGATTGTTACCTCCTTCTAGTTTAAGCCTGCCTATAAAATTCAAGCAGAATGATTCCGATTATCGGACTGACAAATGACTTTTACGTTCGTATCAGGATCATTGCTATGTACACGAAACTATTTTACGAGCTTTCTCAAGATTGCGTGAATTGCCAAAAAGAAGCGACACATTCTCTAATTGACCAAGACGCTGGAAGAGATTTAAAAGCGTCATCATCGACCAGCTGTCGGACACGGTTTCTCGATCGTTTCTCGCGGGATATTGTATTATTCGCGCGCGCGCAGTAATCGCGCAGTGCAGGATAATCGATCGCTGCTGTCGTTACCGCGAAATTGCGGATAATGGGCGACCGTTAGATTCATCGGCCATTACTTGGCAAGAGAATCCAAGAGGCGTAAGAGAATTTTTCGACACGAGTGCATCGACGACACAGCACGTTATTTTCTTCCTCATTGTTCTTTTCTTGGCGGATGATGCACGATTCCCGCATTATCGATTCTACGTCGTTTATCGCGAGGTCGTGGCGTTTTCTTGTCGGGAACGTTATTGCTTGCGAAACAGTACTCCTTTTTGTGGCCAGCTTAGTCAGAAAGAGCCAATTGTGAACGTATATATTGGTAAACTATTCGAATGTGTGATTAAATATTTTCGTCAATCACTCCTTAACACGTTGAAGCTGACGCACTTTTCTTCGGCACACCCGCCAAGAAATATCGAATCATAATCCAAATCAGGACTGTGTGAATGCCGGCTCAAAGAGGTTTCTCCTTTATCTCATAAATAGACAATACCGAGCGATATATATGTACGAACAATCATTATACGACGTTATTTTTATGACTTTATGAACAATCCAAACTTCGCGATCTCCACTTACAAGTTACCCAAACGGGGTGAAGTGACAAACTCGTAACGTCAAAAACCCGATAAACGACGAAGGCAAAGACAAATTTGCGCACTCGCAAACGACGTGTGAAATCGAGCAGAGGAAGAAGAAGGGAAGGGATCGTCAAAACAACGGATCTCGTCGAGGCCGCCACTGTGCTCTTCTCGTTAATTTTAGTACACGTTCCGCCGTCTAGTTCATTTGGGGACGACAGTTTGCGAGCACGATAATGATATCGGGCCAAGAACAGTGACAAACAGTGTCACCATGTCGAACGAGGCAACCCATTTTACGCAAGGTGCGCATCGATGGTTCGCATCAGCCGACATTTCATTTTCGACGTCAGAATCTCCTTAACGTTAATACCCATCGTTAACAGCGTCGACGATGGCGCGTGTACATTTTTTTCGTAGTTTTGACGACCTCTGTGTCGTGTCTCGTGTTTTGCAACGAGTGAGTCGTAAGTAAGCCAAGTTTTTATTCTTAGGTTCTACAGAAGGAGAAGAAGCTATCGTATACAAATAGTATACAATTTTTTATTGCCAGATTGAAATTTCTATGAGGCTAAAATGAAACTAACAGCTATTATCAATAAAATCGATTTGCCAGGAAGAATTGCGTCCGACTTATCTGATCGAGTCTTCCTCTTTGCGAAGGATCGCCTCGATCCGCAATCTGCAACTCGCAATCTCGTGTTAGCTGACGAAATATTCCCCAGTTTTTCCCGACTTGAAGAGAGGAGACCGTCTCTTGCTTCACAGAAGCGGCTCTTAAGAAATTCGGCCGCGATCACATTCGCAATAGCTCACAGTTTCTACTTCCGATCCGGATCCACACGGCCGCGAACTTCTCTCCGCAGAACATGGCTGATGCATGGCGACTTGTTTACCGAGTTGAGGAACGTCGCGGCTCATCCAACTAGATACGCAAAAGACTTTCCGATGAACATCAGAATGTGAAGTTGTCTTACAGGACGCGAGACGCGGCTTCTAAGCTCATCAATGAGCGTAATCGCCCTCGTTCACCAACACGGTCATGTCCATGTGTGGTGGAGGAGGAGGGCGGCTACAACACGAGAGAGATCCAAATTCGTTACACCACGGAGAACGGCAAATCGGACTCGTCTTCTTCGTCCTCGTGCAGGCTGTCAAGTGGGAACCGGTGTCATCGGTTGAAAGAAACGTCACGAAGAGCACATCGTCGACAATTCAATCAAGGAGTAGACTATGAAGGAGATGCGGAACTCCCCGCGCAATGTTTTCCTCGAGCTACTTTTCATCGTAACCTTGATGTTTTCATCAATTTCCTCACTCGGACAAAGTAGATACTTTCAAGAGACGCACGCGACACCGTAAAAAAAGTAATAAACGTATAAAATGTATGTTTCCTCTCGGGACGTTTCTCGTGTCTCGAATTGTTAGCGGCGCGACAAGCCGCGTCGTGGAAATGACACAACTTGCAAAGTTTAGCGGTTTTTCAACCAGTTTGGAGCTAAATTTTTTTGTGTAACAATTATTATGGAAATGCTCTCTTTTATTCCGTCATATTCATTACAGGAAATGTTGTCTTCCTTAATCGTTTCGCACTCTCGATGCTTCGATTCAACCAATTTTTTCAATCCACCCTGTTCTCATCAGATAGAGAAAGAACCATCTACAGGGTATCGAATTTGCTATTTCGTCCCGCATAAACCTGCGTTTTATTTTTAAATAGATAAGGATTGTCTAGATAGATAATGATTTCATTTTCTGTATCTAAGATCCTGTTGAGGCTTTAAGGAATCGAAGCACACTTTGTGTGTGTGTGTGTGTGTGTGTGTGTGTGTGTGTGTGTGATGTATAGTAATAAATATGCAATTGGCACAAACGGATTATCCATTTCTTCGTAGGCAGCCATTAGTTGTGTCGGTACAACATCTGTTGAGCGCACGTCCAGTTGGCGTTAATTGCGAAAACAGATCGCACAATTCGTGTAGCTAATAAGCGGTAGCGGGTTAGATAGGATCAAATATTTTGAAGAGATTTAACAGATTTAATCCGCGCCTCAAGGAATCATCTCTTTGAAATATTGCGCGAATTAATTTAATATTGTAAGTTGGTCAATTTGTGTATCAACGCTTGTGAAATTTAGTTTCCATTTCTCCTCGGAGCTATGTCGACAAAACGTAGATTTACTCGCCTAACGCGCAAACCGCGACGTGGTGATTTCTGTTAGCGAAATGTTCGCGGCGGTACTACTCGAACGATCACGCACGAGCGATCGCGGGCTGTTTCGAAAACAAGAGTTGGAAACAAGAGCCGTGAGCAGAGCCCGTATAACGGATAAGAACACGGTGCGTGTCCGATCATTTTCACTTCCGTAGAAAAGAAAAGGGAAAGCGGCCGTTGTCTCAGAACAAGAAACTATATCACAGCGCCGAAGACTCGTTTATCAGAAGCTTTTGCTGATTCAACGTGCGTCCAAAGTCTTTAAAAAGTAGCATTTTAAAAGGTGGCACAAATATGTGCCAAACATTTCACACTTGAAAATCTACTAAACATCAACTTCCACGAAGAAGAAGCATTTTGAGTAATTTTCCAAGTTTTCGCGTGCTTCGGCTCGATTCCTCCGACTTTCTCAATTTGAATATTAATTTAATCTAACCCCCTCGCTTGTATTCTTAATACAAGGCGACGTGTGTGGCGAACTCAAGACCGATCGAAATGATCGATTCTACTCGACCGATGGTGAGAAATTTCGGGTATAACATCTTTGTGAAGGCGCTATTATCGAATTGTCGATTTCTACAACGAAATGCGAGAGAATGGAAAAAAAGAAAGCATGTCGAATAAGATCCTACCTGATGACTTGCCAGGGTTGGATTCCTCGATCGGCTGGAGAGTTCGTGACATCGTCGTCGTCTTCGAATAAAGGTTTCGCTCTTCAACGTGAAACAAATATTGCGGTACGGTGCTAGCGAACCGTGATCGAAGCGCTCACAAAATCACCACCGGTGTACATTAATCCACCGATTAATTCCACTTGAGTTTCCTCAAGTCCAGTTGATTCGCCTTGGTTGCCCGTCACATCTTCCACGAGCGTACATTAGCCGGCATTGTTAATGCCGCAGTTGATGATATTTAACAAGTGAAAACGCGCGAAAGCGACCGTGAGTGAGATCGTGCGTCGGGAAAATTCAAAAAAGCACACGGGACCACTCGCGATGAAGACTCCCTACTACTCAGTAAGGAGTATAAGTGACATCGTCTGACAGAATTTCTCAATATTGCATCATTTTCACCGAAATGCTACGCGACTATATCTCCTTTCTCGCATATTAGATAAGCAAGTTAGCTTACGGTTGAAAACATTTTCCTCAGAAAAGAGCGAGAAAGAGTCTCGATGAGTCTGAAACGAACGTTCGTTTGCGCAATCAGATTCCTCTTCTTCCTGCGCACAGATTAAGATAGATGTCTTGAGACAGATGTTAATTGATATCTTATTTCCTCAAATAATCGGAGACTCATCAGAGAGGATAATCGATAGGAACGTTTAAATTTTCTCATCAGATAAAAGGCACTCTTTGACGAAGGATCTCTTCTTTCCGTTAAAAGGAAATTTAACACTTGCGATGGTAAATGTTCTCTCGATATTAAGGTATTAGAATACGTTTTATTCTCGTTTGCTTTGCAACACAGAGAAAACATTCCTCTCGGCGCTGTTGTTCTTCTCTTTCTCTCTTCAAATATATATTTTCGCTTTGATAAATCAACAAATTGACAGATTGCTTCACCCTGCCATCTCTGTTTTGATTTAAGGGCTGTCTCCTTTTGCAAAAAATTATCTCGTCTAAAGATAGCGATAAATTTCTGCAAATCGTCCTCTCTCTCGTCCGATCGTCTGCTGAAAATGAGTGCGGTGTCGTCACATCAGTGTCCTCATCCATAGACTCGTGGTCCGCGCGGAAAACGCGCGGTATTGTCGGGCACGTGAACGTCTGCTGGGGTGCACGACAAGGTACCGGCGACTCGCGCGTCGCGTCACGTGCGACCGACTGAGAGACACCACGGTGCACGCGCGACTCTCGTCGTTCGACACGCGCGGCTGCCGCGTACTTTCGAATAACGGGTGCTGGTAGCTGCTGCTGCTGCTGCTGCTGCTGCTGCTGCTGCTGCTGCTGCTGCTGCTGCCGCTGCTGCGACAGAGAGCACAGTGAGAAGAGAGCTACGTCGGTCGTGCACTAACGGTCGTCGACTAGTACTGCCGCTGCTGCGGCCTGGGAGTCTGGCGCTTGATGCGACTGGAATCACCGTAGGAGGAGGAGGAGGAGGAGGAGGAGGAGGAGAAGGTCCTCCGTATCCTTCGCCAAGTGGGAGACAAGAGTTGAGAAAATCGCAATTCTTCTCCTTCCTCTCCTTCTCTTTGGAAGAGGAGAGACGGAGTCTGCCAACGTGAACGGGACGTAGAAGAGAGGGAATGGCTTTCTTTTTACGAGACTTGAAATCGCGCATCTTTCTGCGTTTCTCGCAAGACCGATTTTTGGCGCGGCACGTCGTATCAAGTTGCAGACAGTTAAACACGAGCTAAATCGAGGAAAACACCGATAGTGATAGTGATTCCGTGACTCGGACTGTCAATTTTATTTCTGCACGCACAATGCGCACAGATTCCTTTGGCGTCAATCGAGCATAAAATCCGATGTTTCCGCAACAGAGGATTCTGTCAATAATGTCAATATAAATTGTACAATAATTTATCGATAATATAGTAAATCTTATCTTTACATTGTATACATATATTTATGTGATTCTACAATTTCTACGAATAATCCTAATTAACATAGAGCTCAAGTTTGCGTAAGTTGTCACGTTCACATTGGTCAAATCTGTAATCGATAGGCGTTCTCTTATCTCGAATCAGACACGAAACTTAGGAACAGTAGAGGCTAAACGAGAGCATACGCTATAAACACACACGCGTTTGCGGCTCGCTTTCTTAAGTTCCAAAGACTGGAAAAATTGTTTGTCATTTATTCATTTCCAACCGTCTTTGATCGGTATCGATCGTGGCATTTCTCCACGAGTAACGACACTGTCTCTCAAAAATAACAAAAGCTGCTCACGAATGTTCGACGGAGGCGATTTGTCACTTCTTCTTGGAACCAAACCCGGAGAATCCCATTATCGCGATCATTTCGTCGGACGGACCGGCATCGTCCTCAGTGAGCTCCTCGATTTTTCTCTTTTTGTCCTTTCTCTTTTCCTTTCTGTACTCTTTGATCTTTTCTTCCTGCATAGAGATAATAAAATTGTTAATAAATTAGACACATGAAATGTAAACGAACAAACGAAGAAATAACCACCTCCCTCGCCCAAACATAGTTTGAAAGATAAAAACAAACCTCTTCTTTGAGCTCCTTTACTCTCTGTTCCAAATCGTAATCTTTCTTTTTCTCTTCAAGCTTTTTTTTATTCTGTGCAAACCTAGCTTTAACTTGCTCCAATGTGGATCTTTCTATCTTCATAGACATACCCAGATTACGCTGATCTATTGATAATTACAAATTTGAAACAACAATTAAAGAGAAAATACTTCAATTTCATTTTTATTAGTTTTTTACAAGAAATTACGACTTACGTTTTGTTCCATTGATGTGGTCCAAAAAATTGATGGAATCTTTAACAACGCAGTCGCAGACATTGCAATAGTATCTACAGATGGAAATAGCAGCAATTAGCGATTGATCCAATTAACAAGAATACAACTGTTGGTTTAAACAAAGAGTAACAGTTTTAGGAAAAGATGGCTAATTTGTACTATATGATTGCTTTAATTACCGACTGAATAATATATCAGGAATCTTTTGTGGGGAAAAACTTTATAACTTTATTTTATTAACTAAAATAAACTATATATTTGAAAGATGTGTGTGTTTGTGTGCATTCAACAATTAATTATACCCTCCAGTTTGTGAAGACGGTGTATTTTTATTGATAACTACACTTTTTCCCAATTTAGATTCAAGGTCTACTTTATAATCTCTTTGTTTCAGCAGCTCTCTCTTAACTGCTGGTTGTTTAGGGATACCCAATTCCTCTTCCGCAATCTCATCTTGGAGCCTTTGAAGTGCAATTCTTTCGTATTCCTCTCGGTTCCATTTTCTCCTGTGATCGTCAGGTCTCTATTAAAAAAAAAGAAAATTGTGTTTTAATGTAAAGTACAAAGTATGTTTTTCCAGTATTCCTGAATTAGAGTGTACACTAGTTCTCCGAAAACCTACAAATTAATCCAACAAGTATATTGATATATAGCTACTTTATATCATCAATATACAGACAATTATTTACAATATATAGTTTTTGCAAACTATATTACTTCCTTTCTGTGTTCAACAATATTTAAACAAATAATCATTCAATTTCTGGAAGTGTAGAATTATTTATTGAATACAATACAAAATGAAAATTGAAGAAACATTAAATAAAATTTATACAATAAACATCGTGTAAGATTACACGTAATCGTATACGTTACACGTAAATTATACACTAGTGGAAAATTTGCTTCATAATATAGAATGCAACAAATACATCAAGTGTCAAAATGATGAGAATCTTAAGACATGCAAAATCACGCAGATAATTTACGTATATACATGTATAAAATTAAATATTAAAAATATAATATAACCTCTCTCTCTGTATATATATATATATATACACACACAAACACATATATATATATATATATATATATATAACTGTATAAATACAACAAATACACAAAACATGGTTTAAAGACGTAAATAAATAATTACCGTAGACATTTTTACACAATATTACTAGGACGACAAAACGTTTGAGCAGAAAGAATAAATCGTTATATTTAGTCAAAGTGAAGCTCAAGAACTCTCTCTCTCTCTCTCTCTCTCTCTTTCTGTCTCTCCTCCGGATTGGTACACAGTCCTTTTGCGTGTAGGACCTTTCATCACTTGCGTCAAAGGACGTGGTCCAGCAATCTATACAAATGCTGGCAGCGTTTTTTTCTCTTGTTCTATTCCTCAGATTCGAATGAAGAAAGAGAAAGAAGTAAAAA